GCCATGTGCGGAGCTAGCTAGCTTGCTTAGCTAGATGCAACTGTAACTCATGTTAACTGTCATTTTAACAGGGCTGATAACTCTGTCTTAAAACTAAATGTACTCACCAGAGAAAGTGAACAGCCAACTCCTAATAAGCTTTTTCAACGGCGCTGGTTAAATTTACACAGCGCCGAGGGTAGGAGTCGGCTCTAGCCTGATTGATAGGTCGCCATGATAACGACTTGTCAATCATAGATAATCCTGCCCTGAAACATACTCTGCTTTGTGGTCTATTTTAAAATAAATGGGACCATAATTTACTAAATGAACATCATTTTGTGTTGAAGAAGACTTGAAACTAGTGACTGAGACCATAAACTCATCAGGAAAGTGTTTACTGGGGTAACTATTCAGCTGAGAAGTAGGGTCATTTTCCCATTATTTCTAATGGAGCCGGACTTCTTTTTGCAACCAGAAGAGTCGCCCCCTGCTGGATTTTTAATAGAATGCAGGTTTCAGGGACTTCCACATTCGCAGCATATTGTAGACCAGAAGCTTCCCGCTTGGTTGGTATACAAGTGTCCTCACAGAAGCTGATATAGGATGTCACAGTCTCTGTATACTCATTCTGACCTGAAAACATCCCAGTCAGTGCAGTCCAAACATGCTTGAAGGTGAATTGTTTTTATACACTAGGTTTAAAAATTTAATTAGGAAAATACATGACACCCACGCAAAACCAGACAGCTGCAAGATAAAAGGCCGACATATTTGGTGCTTGACAAAAATGTTGAAGGACCACACAGCAAGACAAAAATTGAAATGCCCTCAAAAAAAGCTCTTGGCAGTATAACTTGCATTTCTGTGCCTATTTTGTTAATGGGTGTAGTTTTCTTATTTAAATAGATGACTTTGCTGCTGTACATCACACTATTTTGGTGTCAGTTGTTTAAATCAAAGAGTGACAAATTAAATCCACAGCAGCCTGAGAAGACCATAAAGCGCCAGCCTTTCCTTTACCGTAAAATCACACTTGTTTGCTTCTACTACTGCTCCGTCAAATGTACCAAGGCCATGCACACTCTTTGGGTGTTAGTCAAAGGCCATTGTGGGGAATGAAGGAATTCATTACACAAAACTAGAGCCGCTTTTCCACCGCAGGGACCAGGGTCTAAATTAAGTTCCAGGGACTTTATTTGACTCCCAAAGAAGTCCCTGCTATGGGGCTTGCAGCGCATTTCTGAATGGTTGAGTGGAGACTACTCGCTTTAGGTCAAGCTCATCGGGTATTTAAATCTGCTTTTTATTACTGCTCGTCCACTGTTGATTCAGTGACCACATCTGCAAACCAATAATATGATCAAGCCTGAGAACCCAGGGAACGTCAATCGGCATTATATGGATAGCTCAGAAATAGCAGCCGGTGTGAAGCTAGTCCTGCAGTGTGTTTACAGCTGATGCAGTTAAGCTAAATACTGGATACGGAGTTATTATTTTAAGCTTTTATCATTCAGGAGGTTTCTACCAAGGAGCCAAAGTAGGTCTCCTCCTCTACAAAACAAACGTACTGGCTGATTACAACAGGTAATAAAGCACATTAAAAGTCATGTTCCTCTGACGCTCAGGCGGACACAGGACGTGGGTACTACGAGCCGAGCACCTGCTTCTAACGTTAGCTCAGTTTAGTTGCTCAGTTAGTTTTTAGTTTAGGTGTTTTTTTCCTTAGGTGTTGACGGTTAAGGAAGTTTTTTACCGACAGTCGAATTACCACAGAGGTAATCTCCGCTCCGAAAAAAAACGGACCCGGTCATTAAAACATTAAAAAACACTGAATAAGGCAGTTTCATCCTAAGAAATTTGTGTCTCATTGGTGGACACTGAGCATTAGCGAGCCAACCTCTAGTCGGCTGGAAATATTTTAATGTTTTAGCGCTAGATGGTGCATTCCGTTTCCAGACAGGCCCAAAATGTTGCCTTTTTATGTTTGTGCTTCTTTGTTCCTTTCTCTGTGCTTGAGTTCTTTTAAGAACTTGATGGCTTAATGCAGTTTGTTATTACTGTTATGGAGTTGAATTGTGTTTCTTCATTATACTCACAAACAAAATAGACATTTGTAGTGTTAAACAATAAATGATAATATAATATAATTTTCCTCAATAACAATATAATAAATGTTCAATATATCGTCAATAAATGTTTGATTGAATTCATTTGAATCCCAAACAAATTAGGACTTTTTCTATTAAGATATTTATTTAGTTGAGGAAAAGGGACAGAAAAAAGATTTACTAATCATATGTTTTGAAAAAGATTTTATCATAATAGTTTTGATAGTTATTTCTACCTAAGACTTTTGAAGTGATCCTCTGTTTGGCATCAAGTGTTTGTCACATTGTGACCATACAGAAAAGTTTAACCACACAATTAACTATTTGGTTTCTTTAATTTTGACATTTATTGTGATAATTGTTGATATCAAATGGTATGAATTTTGTTTTGTTGTGATACCATTTTTGGCCACATGGCCCAGCCCTAGCTGAACGTGAGAGGTTCATCTTAAAAATGGATTGAAGCAGTCGTGGTACAAAAGGAAGTGACAAAGGACCAGTCAGTGCAGCACACAACACAACTCAAAGAACAATACATTTAATAGATTGCTCTCAGCATTATTGTGAAGACCTCGCTGTGGGCGATATGGCCTTAAATATAATATTGCATGGTATTTTTTCAATAATATTTATATGTGGTGAGTTTTTTCTCACACTTCCCTTCCTGAATGTGATTTGTTGAGTCGTTTCACTCTACCTTTACATACTTGTAAAAACTCTGAACTTTCTGAGTTTCAACACGAGCCAATAAGAGGTTTCTTGAAATAAAGCGGCTAAAATCTGTCAACTATAAACCAGATCCTAAAATACAGCGGCCCTTTTATGTTATAAACTGCTCAATTATATGCAAGTGTAGCCTCTGCTGAATGAGGTGTAAGATCTGCTGTCATAAAGCCCAGGAGAAAAGCCTTTCAAACCCTCAGATTAACGATTTCTGCATGACACAATCAAAAGGCCAAGTCGTTTCCCTGACAGGATAGTTTTGGATGACAAAGGTTGCAAGCCGCTCTCATTCCACCTTGAACTGAAACCCACTGTGCCTGCTGCTAGCTATTCAGCATGATCAAAATGAGATTTGGTAATGTAATGCTAATGCACAACTTAATCTTTCAGCAGTTCATTAGCAGATATTGGAGAACACACTCCATGTTTGCAAACATGAACAGTGATTGCAAATATTTATTGCAGGAAGCTTCTTCCTGCTAATTATAGTTGATTGTATTATATTACAGCTACAGACAAGATAGCCACTTGAATAGACATTTAATCTTATTAACTCTTGTTTGCTAATAAGTTAATCATCGTTCATTCGATGTCCTTTAATGCACTTTGTAACATAGTCTAAGCTGCAGCCTGGCGACACTGGGTGCTTTTGAATCTTCCAACAGCCTCACACAGAGATCTTCCTTGAGGTTAAAGAAATGGGATGGAGGGGGACGAGTTGTTGTTGTTGGCATGTTCAATTTAGGCCTTTGTTTCACCTCCCGTCCCCTGGAGAATAAGATCAATCCTCATGAGCACAGGAATCGAGAGCACACTTGTAGAAAAATGACACATCTGTGACACCTGGCAGGGTTGTATGGGGTGTACATACCCTGAAGTCAATGTCATTTCATAAAAAGGAGCATGCCTTCGTGCTCGCTGAAGTCCCCATTGTTGCGGGAGACGAGCGTAAATGATATCCCAGAGATGGGTCATCTGTCAGATAGAATACATTAGGGAAATTGTCTTTGAGAGACGACACAGTTAGTGCAGCAGGATGACAGCCATGCTGCAGGCACACTATCTAATCCGGTATCAGTGGTCAGCTAAACGGAGTACAGCTAACCTTGTAGACCATCGCTATACTTCTTTCTCCCTCTCTAGAGGAGAGAGATATAGCAAGGCACTAGGCCATCTCCTCAATAAGAACAGCAGGAAGAGGAGAAAGTACAGAGTACAAAGGGGGACTTCTCCATTAATATTTGAAGCTTTCCGATTACTGGGTCAACTGAACGAAAAGCAACGATTCACAGAGTGGTAAATAAATACCAGCAACATAATGTGAAAGATTTTCTGCTTTTATCTGTTCTGTTCATATTGACCCACTGTTTTAGACAATGGCAGCCAAAATTGGAGCTTTTTCTGCTTAATAACCCTGATCTTCAGTTAGGGGGTAACTTAGGGCCAAAAAATAAATAAATAGCCAGGGATGCAGCCAGTAGTAATCATAATTTGTGCTAGGCCAGTGTTAGCTCATTGTTACTGAGAAATGCCAAAGAATGTTATTATTCTATACATTATA